ATCTTTGATTAACAGATTCAAAGAGTTTTGGAGGACAAAAGTTATTCCAAAACCATCATCTAGTGAACCGAGTAACTCCAGCTCGTGTAGTGTAAAACCTAGCACATCTTTACCAAAATCTCCTGACATTCCTTCTGGTGAGGATGATGTTTTGTTCCGAGAGACACAACAATCAAATCAAAGCAGAATTAGCTAAGAAAGGAAGATGTTATCAATGGCTTAGCTAAGCAAACCTTTGCAATACGTCGAAAAGATATCACAGATAATCCATCTCATTCTTCTGAAATACTACAAAAATATCCTTCCTTTTTTAAAGAAGACTGATCAAGTAAATTTAATGGAATTATTAATACACACATTTATACACTTTATCTCACATGCAGTTGCTTCTAGAAATGGAAATGATATGTAATACAGAAAAGCTGCGAAGTCTAGTTAGAAATTTATGGAGTGGACAATCGTCTCATAAAATTCTTGATCAAGCTAAACTGAAAAAGAATAATAATACGTGACTTAAGACGAGTAATGGACGATTTGTGTGTTGAGTCTGAACGGTGTAGGAAGTACATTTCCAGTATAATGGTTATGACATGGCATTTTAATTTTTTATAGATCCTATTATTCATTCCTTGTGTCTACTACCTTACATGATACCTGACTCTCGTACAAAACCTTTGCATGAGAAACTTGTGTGCTTCTGCCCTGTATGTTTTTTTTAGTTTTATTTTTATTATATTTTATATTTAAAAAAAAAATAGTAATCATGCACTCCAGCTGAGCTCATAAAGAATCGCAACCAGAATGAACCATACTTCATTTTTGGAAAACACGAGGCTCCTCTGCAGAATTTTTGGTTATTGATCAAGAGATTCTTTGTGAAATTGATATGGATGACTGTTTTTTTTGCAATTATTTTGTTATATTTTGTATTTAACATTTGCTATACAAAAGGCCTTGCTAATGTTTATACTTTTTTTGCGATTGTCTTATTGAATATTAATAATTCTAAAGTTTCTCCTTCAGTTAGTCTCTTCAATGATTCACAATTACTCTTTTGGTTTTTTTGTCATATAATCAATATGATTTTTCTCATTTACAAGTTATACTGTACTTGATTTCCACACTCTTTGTAGTATGTCTACTGCAATGTGTACTGCACACCTACAACAATGTGTACTACACACCAAATTTATAGGTGTGTCTGGTGTGACAATCACACTTCATAAGGTGTGCTAGCAGGGACAAACACTGCACACCACATTCAGTGTGCGTAACACACAGTGTATGCCTGATTTATATCACTTTTAAATATATATAAATAGATTTTTTTGTAGTGTAGCAAGGATATCCATTGTTTTAAAAGTTGTCAATAGTATGATTACCCATCACTGCTGTAATGCAAAACATGGTTAACTACACACTCTAATGTCCCCTTCCCAAGCCACCAATGTTTTCATCCTGTACCAAATTGTGAGAAATTTTTGTGGGCCAAAATTTTTGTGGATTTTGCGTTTTTTTCAAAATTCATAAGAATAAAATCCACGAAAATCAAATTAATACAGTTCAAGATGGCCGAATAGTAAAAAACCACAAAAATTAAAGCTATGAAATTGATTTTTAGACCAATACATGAAATTTTTGGCCACCGCTACATGGTAATAGGCTATACAAACCAGCATATTTTCATGTAGCAGTGATTAACAAAATGGCCCAGCCGGAGTTAATTTAAAAGATTTGCCATGATTTATTGATCTCTTTATGTAAAAACCTATGCATACTTTACTACTGATCAGCAGCTTAGCCCCCGTTGATAGAAGGTCGGGGGCAAAATGCCCCCTTACCCTCCCTAGTTGTAGCCCAGCCATTATCAACATTTTACATATTAATGATATATATATATAGGAGCTTTTAAGTGTTAAACTACAACTACAGCATTGTTAGCATTTCATACAATTAAGTGTTTTTTAGATGTTGTTTTGTAACAATGGATGATTCGAGGAGTTGTAGATGTTTTATTTCAGCACATTTGCACAAAGAGCTATTGTGAAAAATGTCAATGTTATTAAAAATTATTCTCATGTCATGTAGTTGGGCGGGGCTATGCACACAAAAATGGAGGAAGTAACAAGAAAAATAGAAAAGACAGAAGGATTCGTTGTTACTGTGTCTCAATACAAAGGAAAAGACTGCTTACTTGTTTATCATAATAGGCTCTACTATCATACTCCACTAGGACCATACTCTTGGTGCAGAATTTACATTACTGACAAAAATGAGTATGTTGCTGGCTAGTGAAGTGGAAAAGGTTGCCTTTTTAGCTTCATCTCTTGATAATGTCCTATTTTTTTTAAGGAAATTCTATTATCTTCATTGTGCAAGTTTTGCTGTGGGATAGAGCTATTGACTTATGATTATTGTCACCAAATTGTTCATTTTGACCTGACACAATAGGAATTTTGAAATAACTATGGGTATTTATAAACGCTGGTAGGTACAATGTACCTATAATCACCTATAGGTATTTATAAATATCCGATAAAAACTTTGTAGGCATTTCAGGTACTTACAAAATGCAGGCATAGTCATTTTTGTCAGTAATGTCAATTCTGCACCCAGAGCATGGTCCTAGTGGAGGATGATGTAGAGCCTACTATGATAAACAAGTTAGCAGTCTTTTCCTTCGTATTGAGACACAGTGACAACAAATCCTTCTCTCTTTCTATTTCTTATCTTACTTCCTCCATTTTTGTGTGTGACCACACAAAACTAGGTGACATTATCAAAACAATAATTATTAAAAACATTAACATTGTTCACAGTAGCTCTTGGTGCAAATGCACTAACAGGAGAATACTGGGCCAACATGGAATATAACTTTTAGCATTTACGTGGACATGCAGTAACAGAATATGGGCTGTAGGACACTCTCTAAATATTACGTACTCTTAATTTAATGCTGTTGTAGAAAAATTAATTGCAGATGATATCAGAAGCATTGAGTGTGACAAGAGTAATGGCAAGGATGGTGATAATATACTAAAAAAGATAGGTATGTATTGCATATACAAGCTTCATGCAAACATAGGAGAATGGATCATGCAATTTTGTTGTATATTTTGGTGAGGACAGTTAATACAGGAACACCAAATGTGTCTTGTTTGATTCCTATACTTCAGCTATTTTCATGCTATAGATAAGAGTATGAATGATGTTCAGCCTTGGATTTCTACGAATGAGGCGCCAGAGAAGATGAATGGTAACTGGATTTTATTGATTTGTGTAATTATAGCTATTGTCATGCTATTGATGAGAGTACGAATGAAGTTCAACTTTCGATTACTGCTAATGAGATGCCAGACATGATGAATGGTGCATGGATTTTATTAACTCGTGTAATTTAGCTATTGTCATGCTATAGATAAAAGTATAAATGTAGTTCAACCTCAAATTACTGCTAACAAGACACCAGACAAAACCAATGGTAACTGGATTTTATTGATTTATGTCATTTTGTGCTATAAATAAGAGTATGAATGAAGGGTCTCCTGCTACTAGACAAAGTGGTATTGAGACACCAGGTAAGAAACTTTAGTTTACATTTTTTAAGAATTACATATACATACATGTATCTCCATAATTTTTAGAAAATGAGACACCAAAGAGAACATTGAGAAAGCATCATTTTTATCCCACTGTTGAATCAACCCTAAAGCAGTACCGCAATCATAAAGAATCTGGCTTAGATGGCACATGTGCTCATCCTAAATCACGAAACTTTGTGAAATGTGATTGTTGCAATGAGTGGATGCACTTTAATGGTGTTGGTGTAGAATATACTGAATTCCATTGTAGTACTTGTAAGAAACAGTAAATTATTGTTTAATTGATTTGTTCATTTCAAATTGCAATCATTTTAAAATAATTATTACATTTTCTAATTTTACTTGGTTACCTTCATAATTATTTACTCAGAAGTGTAGTCAAGTTGTTGACACAAAAGTGCATAAACAAACTAATTTCATTTCATATATTTACAATATACACAAATGCGGGTAAAACTGGTCTTCCCTGTAATCATTTATGACTACATACATTGGATGGTGGCCTCAACAACATTAGTGGCAATATTATTATAGGTTTAGAGCTTGCAGCTGCTACAAAGCCAAGTATTTATATGTGACCATAATTGACAAAAGGGCCCTTATGGCGGATTTTAAAATTGATCATTATAATGGAAAATATCAACCTGTAAGTGCTTTGTTTGACAATCATTGTTCTAAAAGTTACATGGTAACTTTTTGCATCCTGTGGAGTAATTTTATGATGAATGGGGCTCAGGAAGTTGGATTTCTTAGGCTAGAAAGACAAATTTCACTACCCGCCATAAGGTACCTTTTGTCAATTATGGTCACATATGCTCAATATCCAAGAGTTTGTTAACACCAGGCAAAGTTTATTAATTTTATTAAAATTATCCGATTTTACTACTGGTAAGGTAATTGTCACACATCAATTGTTTGCTACTCTTAACTGAGTGTTTATCAATGTTTACCTTATTATGTATGCTTATATAATGGACTTTTAACATCCATATCAATCATTGTTCACCTATGTTTACCACTTATTAATTTTTAGTGGATTTTACTACTTTATTTTTGTTGACCCATGTCTATTCTTATTGTCCATGTTTTGCAATGTTTACCTATGTTTACAAGTGGCAGATCTAGATATTTGGTTTTGGGTGGGCACAAGCAGTATCTTCAGTTCAAAAGTTGCAACTACAAGCTCCAACCAATACACAGTGAATGACTGAATACTGGCTGGGGAAGTAGCAGCCTCACCAGCATAACCAATGCTACTTTTTTAATAATTAAAATTAATTGTTTTTGTTATTTTATTAACATTATTGTTTTATTACTATCAAAATTAATTATAATATTAATTATTTAAATGAAGAAGGAGAACAAAGATAAGGTCCAGGTTATGAAGTTAAGAATTATTTATTGGTTTTTGTCAGCAGATGCAAATTCATCTATTATTTGTTCATAGTCTAAAGTTTTTGAAGCCATATCCCTTTCGATGAACAGTATAGCTAGGTCAGACAAACGATCTTCTCCCATTGTAGTTCTCAGCCTGGTTTTGATTCGTTTCAGTGAGGAGGAGTGTTCACACTCAGCACTGCTTACAGCATTTGTGAAGGCGATTTGAATTGTGTCATAAAGATTTCTATGCACAGGCAAACAGGAGTGAAGATAACGACCGAGGTCAACTGTTGTTTTTATGCTGTTGCGGGAGGCAACTCGAGAAGCCAAGGCAACTTCCATTACCAGAGTTGTCACATCTATTCCGAACATGAGTGCAAATTCTTTCATGTCTTGAAAGTCTAGAAATACAGAGGAAGACGGACTACAAGTGGCTATTCCCTTTAGAATGATGCAATTGGACTGATTGAATCGCGCATTCATTTCTACAAGGAACTGGTCAAGTACAGGAAAGTATAGCCTTGTTTTAAAATGACTTGTTTTCATAGGCTCCCGAGATCCAACAGAATCTGTGATGATACTGTCATCAAGGTTGGCAGGTCTTTGCTTCCTGGTAGACCGTGGCTCATCCACTTCAGTTGATATAGAATGAGTGTTCGCTATGTCAGTGGCATAACGAAAGATTTGATCCCAATATTCATCAGTACGGAATTGTTGAAGCATAACCTTGGATGCTGTAACCAGTTCAGAGGCACGATACAGATCAATCTTTGAAGATTGTAGCTGATCTGAGAGCTGCTTGGTACATGACAGAATACGATCAAAGATGACAAGTGAGAGTAGGAAGGAAAATGACTGAACCTGGAACAATAACCCTTTGGCTTCGACTGCTTTTGACTGATCAGAAGATGAACCAATTTTTCTAAAGCCATCAATGGGGAATCAAAGGTACGGCATATTGTATTGATAGCAGTATATCGACAAGCCCATCGAGTGTCGGACAGTTTCTGGAGTTCTAACGGTTGCTTGTCTGGGTTATTCTTCTTCTGTACCTCTATAAAAACTGCATGTGCTTTTGATGATGCCATGAAGACATATAAAGCTTCAAGGAATGCAAAGAATTCAGAGGCAGAAGCGACAGATCTACAGGAATCCACTGGAACCAAATTCAAAATGTCAGCATAGCAGTAAATGTATACAGCATTTGGAGCGAATTCTCGTACTTTGGCTTGGACACCAGCGCATGTACCACTCAATCACACTGGCGCCATCGTACCCCTGACTAACTATCTTTGAATAATCTAAATCAAATTTTAAGAGAAGTTTTTTGATATATGTGGAAAGGCTAGTAGCATCAAGAGACTTCGCTTCGACATATGTCAGGAAGTGTTCGTAAATCTTACCTTGGGCCATATCAGCATATCTAACCACAAAACACATCTGTTCCTGCTTCGAAAAATCCTTCGTCTCATCTGCTAATATAATAAACACCCCTGCTGATCGCACTTGATGACAGATACTATTCCGAATTTTCTCACCAAGGATATGAAGCAGCTGATTCTGGATAGAATGAGATGTGTAGAGTGCATTTTGAGGACCAGATGTTAGTCGATCATGAATAATTGGATCATACATGGCAAGGAGTTTAACAAGCTCCAAAAAATTGCCCTGATTTGATACTGATGGTGTTTCCCTGTGACCACGAAGAGCAATTTCTTGTGAAGCACAGTACATCAGTGAATGGATGATAGCAATCAAATAGTGGCGGTTCTTCTTGATCTGCTCCTTTCTGGCACTATCCAATCTGGTTGCAATTGATGAACCAGTAGCAACTGTCACCTTGAACTGATTCCAATTCATTAAGGCCTCTTGATGACTCTTAGAGGTATCATGTTTAGCAAAGGCCCTACCTTTTCTACTAGCATGTTTCCAGTCTCTGAATCCAAGGGTAACAAAACAATCTTCAGCTTTATTACTGGCATGACAAAACAAGCAACAGGAGTAACAGAACACTGCATCTTTTGCAATTGAATACTGAATCCATTCATATTGTTGATACCACTTCGCATTAAAACAGCGTGCCTTTTTGCTGATCATGGTAAAGGGAAATGGGTGATTTATGGGTTGAACAGGATTCTCATGTGGACCAGAGGCAATATCAATGTTCAATGATTCCTCTTCCTCTACAGAGCATGACTCATTCGAGCCCACATTTGAGCTAACAGTGGTTGATTCTACACCATGAGGGTTTGTGGAACTGGGACAGTCAGATGCGTCAGGCTCTATGACAGTACTGCTACTACTACCACCATCCCCTAATCATATAATTACGTTACACTGATCATAACTTAAATAATTAAAATTATATACCCTGGTTAAGCTGGATTGAATGAAAGAGAGTTAACTGTCTGGACATGTTCTTACTTGGCTCTAGTTGACAGGTGGTCAGACTCAGACATTGAGCAATAATTATTAATTTTAGTGTTTGCACGTGCTGTGGTATGCTTGCACATAAACATTAATAATTATAATAACTATTATCTCATGAATGTAATTAATAAAAAAATGTTTTCAAAAATTGTGATTGGGTGGGCCTGGCCCTGCCAGGCCCAACCCTTAGATCTGCCACTGATGTTTACTAGTGTTTAACTATGTTTATCACTATTAACTATTGTCACTGTTTTAATGTTTACTACTGTACATCACTGTTTACCTCTGTCAATCAATGCTATATAATGTTTACCACTGCAGATCAGTGTTTACCTATATTTATCAGTAATTACCAATATTTACCACAGTATACTCTTTAATATGTTTATGAAACTTTATGTATGTTTATTTACTTTTACCACTGTACATAAATATTTACCAATGTTTGTCACTGTTTAACTTTGTTTACCACTGTATATTCACTATTTACTTATGCTTATCACTGTTTGTCACTGTTATCATTGTTTACTTAGGCTTAATTTTGATGTTAATCATTGTTTCCATTGTTTTCTTATGTTTATCATTGTTTACAAATGTTGACTTATGTTTATTATTCTTTACCGCTGTCTATTTATGTTTATTATTGTTTACCACTGTCTACTTTTGTTGATAATGGTTTAACTATGTTTATCACTGTTGAGAATTGCTTACCACTGTCTACTTATGTTTATCATTGTTTACTTATGTTTATCACTATTTAACATTGCTTATTATTGTTGATTAGTGTTTATCATTGTTTATCTATGTTTAGCATTTTTTAACAGTGATTACCACATGTTTATCACTCTTTATCAGTGTTAACCACTGCTTGTCAGTGTTTACCACGTTCTACTTATGTTTATCAGTGTTTACCACTATTTATCAATGTTTACCACTGTCGACTTATGTTTATCACTGTTTGTCATTGTTTACCACTGTCAAATTATGTTAGTCAATGTTTATCGTTGTTTAGCATAGTTCAACAATGTTTACTCCAGTCTACTTATGTTTATAGCATTTGTAGTTAAAAAATCAAAGGGACTGCCCATTATATAAATGTCATAATGTCACAGTTAGCCACTTATAGCACAGTTAAGTAGTCATTGCATGCCACTCCCTAACAAGTGTTTTCTATTGAGTTAATTGTAATGAAAGTTGAATGCACAGCAAGATCGAGTAGAGCATACAGGAGCATTCCTCTAATCTGTCAGTTTCATCATAGTCTCTGGGCGCCAGACTACGCCTGTCGCCGAAAGACTAGTTTTATCACTGGACTGGAGTTCTCCACCAATCTTCTTACGATTATATACTAGCATCAGTAAATTACGATGCAAGCTTCACAATCCTATTTTACTGTTGTGTGTTCATTGGTTTGCTGTGCTTTGACTAGCTCTCAGTTTCACAGCTTCAGCTTGAGCATCATTCTCCATTCTTCCTGTTACGTTACACATGAAGTCAGATGGGTATCCATAGAAGCTACATGATGTCATTGTACTGCGCATGCACATATTGTATCAAAATGGCTGCAATTATAAACCATCAATTGACTTCATATCTATAAATCATTTAAAGCATGATTGTTTGTGCTGTATGGGATACAAAGCTAAATGGATTGGGTTTCAAGACAAATGCAGCACTCGGCCTTTGGCCTCGTGCTGTATTAGTCTCTTGACCCAATTAAGGAGAGCAAAAATCTCAATTTTCAATTTTGTAGCACATAGCCTAGTTTTTTCATAATTGGTCTCATTTTTCTTCTTAAAAAATGACACAATCTGTGGCTCTTTCTTAACATTGTATGCTTTGCGTACCCATACAAGTTCTAGGTGATCAATTTCTACTAACTGTCCATTAACTAATTTCTTTCCTCAGCCAAAGTTGCACCAATCTATCTTTTAAAATCAAGCGATTCATTCATTGAATTTTGGTTTTTTTCTTTGTACATTTATTGGAAATGCTGACGAACATTACAAAAAGATGCCTGCTTCATTTCAGCAACTTCTATAGCTCTTATTCCAATGCTTGCAGTTCTTACGTGGTCATACCATTGTTGAGGTGTACATTCAGTCTCTACTCATAATGTTTCGCTCAATTACACAAAATACCTGATCAGTAGTACCATATGTATGTCCTGCTATTAAGAATTTGTAATGAATTCTAGAGTAAATTTTTGGTCTAATTTAAACCTTAAAAAATGATAATAGTTATTTTTGTTGTGACCGGGATAGGTATCTACCCACCAAATCTGCCCACCAAATACTTTATATCCCATTAAGCACTCCAACCATGCATTAATTATAACTTATCACAGTGTTTACTACTGTCTACTTATGTTTTTCAATGTTTATCAGTGTTTACCACTGTTTACTTTTGTTTATCATTGTTTATCAGTGTTTATCATTGTTTATCTGTGTCTATCACTGTTTATCTGTGTTTATTATTGTTCATCAGTGTCTATCGCTGTTTATCTGTGTTTTTCATTGTTTATCAGTATTTATCACTGTTTATCAGTGTTTAAGATGATACAAGAGCTATATTATATGATTTTTTTATATAAAATGACATTGGTTCAATTACCATCTGTAAAAGCGTCTGTTCATGTACAATAAACATCCTGCATTTGCTGGTCATCTAGGTCATTAGAGTTCATCACATATCCATTAAAATCGTCGTCACTTTCATCACTGGGAAGGTCATCAAGTAAGTTTAGCAAAAAGTCAGAATCAGAACGTAGCTTCTTTGCCATTCGAAAGGTACTCCTTTGCTTGTCTCCAGTAGTATCAGACGTCACAAGCAGTGGTAGTAAAGGCAACTTGTCCTGCAGAGTTAACTTGACCCCACACATTACTTAAGGTTGTGGGTGGACGAGTATACTCGTCCTCATGCATGAAAGAGTTAGAAGAGTTAGGGGATACTACACTGGTGACGAGGGTAAACTCATGGCCACCAGTAACAGTTTTGCTCCGTTTAACAGCTGAGAAGAAGACTAGACATCTTAGACAGAACATCTTCAAGCGTACTTGACAGCACATGATGTGGTGGGGGAAGAGAAAAAAAGAGCGATAAGCGATACTTCTCAGTATTTGTGGGCCTCAAATGTACCAATTGCTGAAAGACCTGCTAGCACAGGCGAAACCTATTGATAAGACATTCAAGGAGATAGTAACAGAGGTTCAGAATTAGTACCAACCCAAGCCTTCACAGATGGTACAGAGGTTCAACTTTCAGTCATTGCAAGAGAAACCAGAAAAATCTGTCGCAGAATATGTCTCAGAATTTTGCCATCTTACTGAGCATTGTGAGTTTCAGAACCAGGAAGAGATGTTGAGAGACTGGCTGGTATGTGGTGTCCATGACAGGCACATACGGCTCAAGCTATTATCAGACACATAAGTAACGTTCAAGTCTACTTTCGCGGTCACCCAAGCAGTACAAATTGCCAACCAACAAATTAAAGCAGTCCAAGGAGATGGAGCAAAAACGACTGAGGAACAAGTGAACATAGTAGAAGAGGCAGCTGAGAACAAACTTGCTACCACTGTGAAGGAATGAATCAAAGGCAAGCCGAGTGTCGGTTCAAGGGAGCAATATGCTATGAATGTGGCAAAGTGGTGCACGTAGCTCGAGCCTATAGATGGAAGAAAACCACAGGTAAAGAAGCTCCTAGTAAGCAGAAAAATGGTCGTACCGGTGACAGAAGCAGCTCTGACTTCACACATTTTTTTGAGCAAGAGGTGAGCGGGGAAGCTGAACCAAACTCTGATAAAGTGTATGAACCCCTTTCTAACTTGAATAAGGTCTAATACTAAAAGGAAAGTATATACTATGAGACCAATGGTATTATTAGTGATGGACATTGATGTGGGAGCAGCAAGGTCTCTCATCAGTGAAGCTACATAGTATCTGCTCTTGTCAAAGAATGACCAGGCAACTCCTTCACTCAATGTTACTTAAGTCAAGCTCAGAACTTACCGTGGGCAGGCCATTCATGTGCTAGGAAGCATTGATGTGACAGTGAAAATCAATGGGCAGATCGCTGACTTTAGTTTATTAGTCGTAGCAGGCTCAGGCCCAAGTCTATTAGGCATTAATTGACTGGATCAATTACAGCTTGACTGCAATGAGGTATAACAAATCAGAGAAAAAGCTGGACTCCAGGACAAGCTAAACAAACATAAATTATTATTTAAAAAGACACTGGGCTGCATCAAGGGTTCAAAGCCAATTTCTATTTAAAAACAGATTGTAAACCCAGATTTCTGAGAGCCAGGAATGTTACTTTTGCATTGAGAAAGAAAGTTGAGAAAGAACTAGAACTGGAACAAAGTGAAATAATACAGCCAGTGCAACACTCAGAATGTCCACCCCAATTGTTCCTGTAATGAAGGAAAACAGTGATGTTCGAATCTGTGGCGATTGTAAGACGACTGTGAATCGAGCTACATGTACAGATAGCTACCCTCTACCAAGGATTGATGTCTTGCTGGCCTCATTAGCTGGGGCAAGCATTTTCTAAGGTAGTTCTGGCCCATACCTACTTGCAGATACAGTTGGAGGAAGAGGCAAAGCCACGTACATCAATGAACACTCACAGAGGTCTGTACCAATATCAACATCACGGTAAGTTTTTCATCTCCCCTAGCAATCACAAGTGTTAAATAGCATTCTTGTATGCTCCTCAGTATTATAGCGACTTTGTTGAACTCACTTACTTACACTTTTAGAGCTATGAGTAGATGAGAAAGTTCATCTAGCTAACTTCTAACTTCGAACCCTTCTTCATCGTCAGCCCATACCTAGCGAGGCTAAAGTGAAAAATGATAGTTCAAGATTTGAATCAATAAATATGGCATAATATTTTACCTATCAATGAAGTAATGTAGATAAAACGAAACTAGTCACAAATCACTTGATACTGAAAAAGAATCATTTTTTAGTTTTAAAATAAAC